ACTCCTTGGAGGAAGGCAGTGGAAGTTGCGACAGCCCTGGTAGAGTAAGCCTTGATAGGGCCAGGTAATGGCTGTTTGGCAAGTAGGTAACATAGATGAATTAGACCTCCAATCCACTTTGACAGGCACTGGGACAGGCGCTGTACCCAGACGTGCCGGAGCGTATGAGATGAAAAGTTGTGAGTCCCGTCTAGTTGGGTGGGTTTTATTGAGATAGAACAGGAGAGCCCGCTTGACGTCCAAGGTGTGTAATAATTTGTCCTCCGCTGATGTTGGATTTGGAAAGAAGTCAGGGAGGAAGACCTCCGCCTGCAGGAAGGAGATGTCCGGGACGAGGCGGACTCCAACTGGCAAAAACGACAGGTAAGGTGTATCATGTCGGAAAGCCAATATTTCTCCCACTCACCTTGCCGATGTGATAGCAATTAAAAAGGCCGTTTTCCATGCAAGGAGTTTGAGGTCACATGTAGCAAGGGGCGCAAAGGGCTTCCTCATGAGCTGGCATAGAACTAGAGGAAGGTCCCAGGGAGTGACTGGAGTTTTGACAGGAGGGTAGAGGTGTAACAAACCTTTTAAAAATCGTTTGGAAATCGGATGGGAAAACAAAGTGCATTCGTCAATTGGAACATGGTAGGCCGAGAGAGCGGCCAAAGAAACTCTTAACGATGAATGGGAAAGTCCCGAGTCAGCTGAGGAGGAATCGGAAAACTCTTTCGAGACCCACTGAGGAGGCTCGAGGGGCATCATCACCAAGGGAAGAACAGAACCTTCGCCATTTATAATCGTAAGACCTCCACGTAGTAGGCTTCCTGGAATTCAAGAGGACGTTCACAACGCGGGAGGAGAAGCCGATGATGTTATCTCCCATGCCGTCAGATTCAACTGTGGTATGTCGTGATGTAGGACGGGGGAGTCTGAGAGAAGGAGGAGGTCCTGAGCCAGAGGGAACTGATGGTATATCCCCTGTGATAACTCCAGGACCGTTGAAAACCAAAGTTGTCTCGGCCACCATGGGGTTATTAAGATACAGTCTTTGAGAATTTTGCGGACCACTCTCAGAAGCAGAGGTAAGGGGGGGAACAGGTAAAGAAGTCCCGAGGACCAAGGGTAAAGGAGACCGTCTCCCAGAGATTGTCGGTCTTTGCCTCCATGACTGCAGAACAGAAGACACGTTTTGTTGTTTCTGTTTGCAAAGACACTGACTTGGGGAACTCCTCACTTGTGAAAGAGTGGGAGGAGGTATGTTGGGCTCAACTTAGATGGTCTGCCTGCACGTTCATGCGTCCTGGAATGTGAGTGGCAACGAGGAATATGTTGTTGGCGATGCAAAACTCCCACAGCTGAATGGTGAGGGTGCAGAGTCGTTGGGAAACAGTGCCTCTTTGCCTGTTGACATAGGAAAGTGCTGTGGTGTTGTCCGTGAGGACCGTGACACATTTTCCCTTGATTAAAGGGAGAAAACTGGTGACAGCGCGTGTTGTATAGCCAGGAGTTCTAGAAAGTTTATGTGTCGCTTCCTCATCTGTGTGTTCCACTTGTCTCCAACAGAAAGGCCCATGTAGTGTGCACCCCATCCCGTCAGGGAAGCATCCGTCGTAACGGTGACCTCGGGTGACGGAGGGTGGAATGGCGCTCCCTGAAGGATATTTGAAGGAACGGTCTACCAAAGTAAAGAGTCTGTATGCTGGGAAGAGGGGATAGGACGACAGTGTGTGCGTTTTTTGACTGGTCGTAGTTGTGGATGAACCAGAGTTGTAATGGACGTATCTTGAGTCTTGCGAAGACGTAGTTGCAGCCATCAGGCCTAACAGCCTCTGGATTTGGAAGGCAGTGACGGAGGGTTGGGTGCGGATGACGGTGGCTAGGGAAATGATATCTGCTGCCCTGTCTTGTGGCAGGTAAGCCATGCATATTTGAAGGGACGGTCTACCAAAGTAAAGAGTCCTGTATGCTGGG